AACCATCAACTACATGCTTTACTTTATCTTATTTTACTATATCGTGCTTGTTCGGTAAACTTAGAGATACTTCACTTTACTTTACTTTACTTTTCTCATAAAGTACATCTACTTTAGTTTACTCGATAAAGTAAAGTAGACTAACTTTACTTTACTGAGTAAAATAAAGTAACTTATTTTACTTTACTGGGTAAAGTAAAGTAACCCAACTTTACTTTACTTTACTTTACTTTAATAAAGTGAAATAAAGTTAAAGGGCCACCCCCAAACTTCACCTACGTTTGTTTCGACTATTTCTTAAAAATATCTTTATGAAGAGATGCAGACAGTGTCGTCGATAGCTGTCAGAACGGTCTACAAAACTGAGTTGTGCCAAATTCTTACAGCCTAAGTTTTTTCGCTTTTACTGCATGAAAGCATTTTCTATAGTGGACAAAAATTTGTGCAATTTTAGTGTTTAGCCCATGTCTTCATTAACCAACAATCACTGAAAGTATTTTTTCTTGTCAGTCAGTGCAGACTTTTACAAACTACATTTGATATAAAGCGCTCATCTGTATATAAAAATATGAATTAATTATTACACTGTAATAATTCTTAACTGACTAATAAAAGCTTGCTTTGTTTTCAACTTTCAAGTAATCGATAATAAATTGCAATGAAAGTAGACAGAAATTTTCCGGTTATCACCTCGAACCAGACAATGTTAATGAGAGTTTCAGGCTTTTTCAATTTCAACCAGCCATGGTGCTCATTAGCCCTGAGATTGAAAAATGAAAAAAGTTTCATGACTTTCATGTCAAAAAACATGAAAAACTGGCATTTTGGATGATGAACCAGGCATTAATTTTGAAGTACTTCAAATTCTTGGATTGAAAGGAATTTTGGAACGAAGCACATTCAATAAATTCAGATTTCAATCGAAATGGTGAAAGTCCAGTGATGAAAATATATCTTTTAATCAAGGAATCTGAGGTACTTCACAAATGATATTTCCCACATCATCCAAATGCATCGTTTTTTATCTTCAAGTCTTCGGATAGTTTTCAAATATTCAAAACGAATTGGAACTTTATATTTGAAAAAGCCAAGATGTTTTGAAGAGCAGAGCTTCTTTCAAATATTGGATTGTCATACTTTGGTAAATCTTCTGCACAAATGTTATAGAACCTTAATTTTTGAGAGGTAACTTCTAGGGGAAAACGGCAGACTTGAAATAGAAAAGTACAACAAAGTACAAAAGTAGTTTAAAGTCCTTCAAAGTAGGTCAAAGTAGCTTAAAGTAGCTCAAAGTACTTTTAAATTACGGTAAATTACGGTAAATTACGTTAAAGTACTTGAAAATTACGTTAGAGTACTTCAAAGTACGACAACGTACTTAAAATTACGTCTAAGTGCACCAAAGGATTCTGTTTTGGGAAAAGTTTCGCAGAAACATAACAATTTTGTTCTGTTTTTGAGAATGGATCCCAGAAACACAACAAAAGTGTTCTGTTTTTGTGGATATCATTCCCATAACAGAACACTTTTGTTCTATTTTTGAACCATCATTCCCATAACAAAACACTTCTGTTCTATTTTGGGAACTCAAAGTAGTTAAAGTAGCCCAAAGTACTTCAAGTGGCTGTAAGTACTTGAAAGTAGCTCAAAGTACCTGTAAAGTAACTTGAAGTGCAAAAGTGTGCCGTTTTTTCCCTAGAGTAACTTACATAAGTTCTCATTCACAGATGTTTTTAGTAGTTTGGTAGTTCATAATTTCAAAGCACTGCAACATGTGAAAATAATAACCTAATAAGAGCGGGAAGTGTATATTTTGTAAGAAGAAGTCTTGTTCTTCAAAACGCATGTTTTTTTTTTCTTATTTAAAGTCCCCTTTCGGCTTTAACATTTTGAAAAATAAAAAGCACCATGACTGGTTGAAATTGAAAAAACTTGAAACTCATTAAAATTGTCTTTTTCGAGGTAATAACCGGAAATTTCTTTCTACTTTCAATGCACTTTATTATCGATTACTTGGAAGTTGAAAACAAAGCAAGCTTTTATTAGTCAGTAAAGAATTATTACAAAGTATTAATGAATTAATATTTTTATATACAGATGAGTGCTTTATACCAAATGTAGTTCGCAAAAGCCTTCAATGACTGATGAGAAAAAATACTTTCAGTGTTTGTTGGTTAACGTAGGCATTGGATAAGCACTGGAAATATGCAACATTTTCTGAATCCGTTTTGATGGACAAGTTATCGAATGTATTCAAGTATCATATTTATATGAGATCGGTTTGCAAATATTTGAAACCGAATCGCTCCATCTCTGCATTCTACCTTTTACTTTTTTAAGCGAATGTGAAGCAGACTGTGCTTTCATTCTTCTTACGGCCACCACTAACATGCATGAGCAGAAAGCGAATGATGAGCGATCGTCGGTACACCCTTTTACCATGAACGAAAGAAACATAACCGTTCTGTTTGTACCCGAAGCTGCATTCGGTCCAACTAACCAGTGTATTGATATAGGTGCAGTGCTACGCCAACGAGGCCATCGCGTGGTATTCGCGGTGGAGCCGTCCTGGAAGGGAAAGTTAACTATCTTCGGCTTCGAGGAGTACCTCGTCAACTATAGTAAGCCTGTGTCGGCGAACGACGAAAAGGCCGATGCTGGTAACTTCTGGGTCGATTATATAAGCGCCAATAAGTCGGAGTTCCGTAAGCCGACTATTGAACAACTTGAATCCTTCTTGCTACCGACCTGGCAGACTATTGTCGATGGAGCACGCTACGCCCAGTCACAACTACGAGAGATTGTCACTGCAGTGCAACCGGACGTCATCGCCGAAGGTAACGTGATCTGCTTCCCAGCACTCGTAACAGCGAATGCGTCATTCGTCCGCATTGTTTCGTGTAACCCGCTTGAAATTCAGGGTCCGAACATTCCTCCCGTCTTCTCGGGACTCCCCACCGCAGATCGCTCACAATGGACGGCATTTCGAGCTGAATACGAACGCGTGCTTCGTCCGCTATGAGCCTCTTTCAATAAGTGGGTGGTTGAGCAGGGTGCCCCACCGCTGAATGATCTACAATTTATCCACACGTCGTCAATAGCTAATCTCTATGTGTTCCCTGAGGAGGCCGACTACGTTGATGCAGGCCCACTTGACAAGACCTGGCACCGCATGGACTCCAGTGTGCGCGAGACCGACGACGAGTACGTGTTACGCCAATCGATTCGGGATCGTCCTAGTGACAGTGCACTAATCTACTTCTCGCTAGGTTCAATTGGTGCGGCTGATGTCGAGTTGATGAGACGGCTGATTGACGTGCTATCGCGGACACGGCATCGGTACGTCGTCAGCAAGGGTCCACAACACGAGCAGCTTGAACTTACATCGAACATGGTCGGGGCACAGATGCTACCACAGACGTGAGTAATCCCACAGGTAGATCTTGTCATTACTCATGGTGGCAACAACACCTCGACCGAGTCGTTACACTTCGGCAAGCCAATGATCCTGTTACCATTCTGTTGGGATGGATACGATAACGCCCAACGGATGCATGAGCTGGGTTTCGGAATACAACTACAGACAAATACGTTCCGCGATGAAGAGCTGACGGATGCTATCGATACTTTGCTCGCTGATAGCGCGTTGCGTGCACGATTGGCCGCGATCGGTGAGCGTCTTCAAGCGCGTAACGGCCTACGACGTGGAGCCAACGTCATCGAGGCGGCCGGTCGTCAACATGACACCACTCACAGCTTTCTTAAAATTGGAAACGATCATAAATGTATTACACACTCTGGCACTTGAATGAAGAATTCTCTTTTCCGTGTGTGAAATGGAATTGTGGCAGACTCAAAGCATCTTTTGGCTTAGTTCCACTGAAAAACTACTCAGTTCTTGAATTTGATCTGCTGAAATTAGACAGCTTGGTTGAGATAAATATTCTATTCTCCAGCGTGAGATACGGAAATTGCACCTGAATGATCAGAACTTTATTTAAAACAGTCGGAGAGCTACCATAGACTTATTCTGTTTGAAAACATGTTTTGGGGGCATAATCACAACCCTTTGTATCACTCAGCTATTGTGGCGATTGATCGACAGTTAGCTTTTACGAGTTGTCTTCACTTCTGTTATCCATTTTAATGAATCTTGGCGTATCTGGAACGGCTCTTCGTATTTTCAAACATAAAACCGAAATTCAAAAACTACTTCACCCATCTATAATGATTCGTGTGGGTGTGGGTGTTCGTTCAAGTAATACTAACATCGACACCCACACCCACCACACCTCCACCCCCACACCAACCCCCCACACCCCCACACCCACACCCCACACACCCACACCCACTCACCCACACCCTCACGCACACCCACACCCACACCACCTTCTCCATATATCTAATACTACTGGCGATATAAATGAAATATCAAATGAGAACAATGTTTCGGCTAGAATAAAGTTTTTTTAGGTGCAAGGTAGAGAATCGATTTTAGTGTCGGGCAGGACGGGGAAGTTTTATCTCGGGGTGAGGCGAGGCGGGGAAAGAAAAGAAAAGTTTAAGTCGGATCAGGGCGGGCCGGGGAAAGATTTTTTCGGGACGGGGCGAGGAGGGGATCAAAAAAGTCACCGAGTTTCCTTCTCTGATTATTAAACTTCGTATCGATCATTTGAATATATTAGAGAATGAGATATAAAAAAACAGAACACTCGACTAATATGATCATGAAAATAGAAATTGGTTTAGTCATATGAATTATTTTGGCACAAATTGCAACTATACATAACAAGATTGGATAATAGGATTATGATCTTCCTTTCTTTTTTTATGACAATTTGAATAGGTATTATTCATTTCACATTTCATTATAATCAATTTTGACATATTACTTCAACGAGAGATTCTTCATGGTGTAACAAATGTTCGATACACACATTTTATTATATAATTTTTCGTATGGTATACAAAAAAAGCTTTCATATAGTCTTTGAAAAAAATTAGTTCATGAAAATAGCAAACAGCACAACAGCAAAGAGTAAAAAAATCGAAAAACTCGATTTCTTCACCATTTTGAAAAGAATCGAAAGTAGTTTTTCCTGAACAGTAAGCGTAGGATCTGGCTCTCGATTTTCAATCGCAACTCGATGCATTTGCCAATTATGCCATAATGTACCAATACCTGATCCAACACCTGCAATTGGTAATAGATTAAAGATTTTAGTTCCACGAATATCATAACGAATCGCTCGTGCATCTTCATCAGGAATGTTTCTATCGAGTAAACGTTCGGGAAGATTGAATTGTAGACATGTAGGTCGACCAATACCAACAAGATCACATGCATTCGAAAGAATCGCATCATTCATTGCTTGACGAGTACGAAATCCACCGGTAACTAATAGCGGAACACTAGTTGTACGACGAACCTTAGCTGCAAATTCAATAAAATAAGCTTCTCGTCTACGAGTACGTTCTGATCGAGATTGATCTTCAGTTCCCATCATAACCGGAGCTTCGTATGTTCCCCCGGAGATTTCAATAAAGTCAATACTACCATGTTCATCAATCCATCGAATTTGATCTTGTGCTTCATCTTCAGTTAAACCTCCCGTACTAAAATCAGCTGAATTGAGTTTAACACCAACAGCAAAACTTTGTGGAACTACCGCTCGAATACCATCGATAATTTGAAACAAAAACCTCATTCTATCTTTCGGTGTTGCTCCATATTCATCTCTTCGTTTATTCGTCTTCGGCGATAAAAAACTACTAATTAAGTAACCATGACTAGCATGAATTTCGACACCAGCAAAACCAGCTTGGAACATTATTTCAGCTGCATTAACGAATTTTTGTACAGCCTCGTCGATCTGACTTTGAGTCATTTCTTCAGGGGTACCAATAATCAATGATTGTAACATTTTGGCGAGAATATTATCACCGATGGTCATTGGAATCGGACTAGGTGCAATAGCAGGTTGTCTAAAAGGTCTTTTTCCCATAGGTGATTGGCGACCTGCATGATTAATCTGTACGATAGTTGGTGTACCATAACTTTGACAAACATTGGCATATCGTTTCCATTTTTCAATATCGATCTTTTCTTTACTAGGTACCATTAAATCTGTCATAAGACCAGGATAACGTTCATCGACTTGGACGTTGCCTGTCAGCAAAAGACCAAATGAGCCTTTTGCCCAACGTTCGTAAAGACGATAAATATATTCGTTAGGTTGATTATCAACGGTGCCAAGTGATTCTTCCATAGCAGCTTTGACAATCCTATTCGATAGTTTCAATCCACAAGGAAGCTCAAAGGGTTGTCCAATAGGCATATCATATTGCGACATGATTGCAAAGAATAATTCGTATCCACACTGACTGTAAACTGAAAACAACAAGAAAAGCTGTTAGCACAAGCCCTGTAGGATTAAAATATGAAACAAAATGTAGCTGCTTTTCCTAATTACAGAGGAGTTTTTTAATTTACGCATTGTGTGCACGTTCCTTAAACATTGTTTTACTCAGTTCTTCAAAACTGAGTAATCAAAAATTAATTCATACGTTATACTAAAAGTTATTGGTGTATATGCTCTTTGATCTTATACTAAAAGTCTTGCATACTCTATGTTTGCTTCTCGAAGTGTTTATGAACATATTAGACGTATTAGTCATCGTCTGTGAGGGTACTTTATTATCAACTGATTCTTAATTATGAGATGAATGATTAACCAAAAACTAGTCTTTAAGTAATTGTTTAGCCAATAACTCTAATTAATGAGATCTTAATTAGGTACTAACTGACTAATTAAGAAAGTGACTGTCACATCTGTGACATCTCGTTATAAAGATGTCTATGAAAAGTGGCTGCTAAGCGCTTTACTTGTCGACAGACGATATGCTGTAGATTTGACTGAATTGAAAGTTTGCATAGGACATGCTTAGATTAACAAAAAAAAGTTAGACTAAAAGGATTATTTACGTAGGATTGAACTCGAACCTTCAGCCCCCAATAACCGATTGGTTTTGTTTACCAGTTAAATTACCCAGGCATCACCTTTACTACATTGTAGTTACATATCAATACTTCGAATGAATCCAGGAAGAATAGATATAGTTAGAGAAATAGTGTGATCCAACGGACCTTTCTCTTTTTGAATGTCGTACGAGGGTTTATCTCGATTGCAATTCGAAAGGATCTTCTTAGCCTAGCAAAATACATGGTGATATTAAAAAATAGAATTATCACAATGTGTTGCTTGAAGGTGAAGGTGAGTATCAAGGAAAAGAATGTTACGACTAGCTTCGATCCTTTCTTAGGTGATCTTCATGAAAGATGAGGAAAGGTAAAGTGCTCTAAGTTACTAAAATAGAACCAAAAGAATTCTTTCACGATTATTTAAATTAATTATCCAGTAGCAAAAGTGTCAGTATAATGATTTCAAATAAAAAATAACAAAAATAATCAAGATTAAATATTCTCACAGTGGTCTAACGAAGATAAAACTTGTAGATCACAGAAATCATAAATGAGTTAGTAAACTATAACAACGCTTTAAATAGTAAGAGAGCACATTACGAACGATTTCGTCCTTGCTTGATGGACTCATGAGATATTTTTATAATTCAGTACATCAAATCATGAAGAACATGATATCCAACATGATTATTCGTACAATCTTATCAATACGTTAGCTACCATTATCTTGATGTCACTTCAGTTACGAAGATTATCAAATGGCAAATAATCTCAATAATTAAAAAAAAGAATCATAAGATTAAATTATTACTAACATCCATGAATTTGAGAATGTCCATATACGGCCAGGATGTGTATGTATTAGAATGATGATTCTGTGATTTTGGAGGTGAGGGTTAGGGGAAAATGGTCATACATGGAAGGATTGAAGTAAGATTCGTTGAACAATGAAGAAGTTTTTCAGAAGAACGACTTTTACAACCAAACTTTTTTAGGTCTTTCAGTTTGAAGGTAGTTGATTGAATGACAACGGTTTCCCTCTTCATCCTCATTTTTCCAATACAATCCGTCATAAATAATTTCTTGCTGTCGCGTTGCTGTAGACTAATCAAGATTTAATGAGAAACTTCTATTGGATTAACGAATAGGTAAATGGCGGAAACGTTTTTTTTTTTTTTTGTTAAATTCTTAGAACAACGGATCTAATTAGACACGAACCGAATAGTACAACGATCTGATTGAATGACACCTAGATAACGCCGTTCTCTAATTGATTAAGTTGTCAAGACACTGTTTTATAATAGATGTTTCATCTCATCCTGGCTTTCATTTCGTAGTGTCAATTTACAACATAAAACATCAAGTGAATGGATACAAAGCACTTGTCCTGATAACTTCTCTGAACTCTTACAAATATATGTATCCACACGATTTAACACCTATAATGAAACATCCAAACAAACAAATCCATTGTAGAGTATATGATTTCTTCGTCAATCGAAGAAGGTAAACTGTGTTATATTGCAAGTAACGAAAAGTATCTCTACAAGAACATTTTTTCGTTGATAAAAATCGAAAATTATCATCTGGCGACACGAGAATTTTGTAAATGTAACTTACTTGATGTTGTATTTATTAGAACTTTATCAGAAGTTTTTTTTTTATTGTTTTGTTGGATGTAGTGCATGATGCTGCTTTTTTATATGTCGCTGTTTTTTTTCGTTCTGTTTGCGTACGTCATGTGTTATATCTTACATTAGAGGATAAAGTACGCACATCGAGTACGTACACAGCGTACGTGCACAAAGTTCGTACCATAGTGTTAATGTCGGAAACGAGTACAAGCACAGCGAAGATGATGATGATCAATAGTTTTTTTTTTCTTTTCCTTTTTTCTAAATTTTTATTATAAAATGATATGATGCAATACTATTGTCTATAGAATTAGTGAAATCCCTTGAAACGTTTCTTTTATGAAAACTATTTCCTTTTTCCAAAAGTAAAAAGGATAACGAAAATGACACTCGCTCATTATCTCACAGTAGCCACTTTTATCGTTCTGTCATTGATCCATGTTACACAGTGAGAACCAGGCAAAAACGATTTCAAGTACAATATTACTGCAGTTAAAATATTAGAATAAATACGTCTGCAGTTAGTCTATCTTACCCTGAATCACACTTTCAGAAATCAAGTTGAATCATTGGAAAGAACATCACAAGAAAATTTGCTTATACATCGCTAATTGTGCGCAAAACTATTTCAAACGAACAAGGACAAGAGTAAATGAAAGGGTCTAGAGTACTGTAGTTTGTATATCCCCAATGAGTTGTAATTCGACTGAGCTGAAACTTTTACCAGTTATTCTCCTATATGCGATTTATCTTTGAGTATAGCACCGTATCGCACCAATGAGCATACATAGATTTAAGATATTGTAAAGAACCAAGTTTCTGCCTAGAAATTGTTAGATTTGCGAATATAAAAACTGTTTTTTGTCAGAAATCAAAGTGATATTTGAAATCAACTGGTCGAGGCACATTAAATCATATATGTTCCTGTGTCCGATAGGGTTTTGAAAATCAGCCTTTCTATACCTTTAGTGTGCTGAAATAATTTTCATCCGATTGAACTCAAGCTTTCATCGAATATCCTCCTATATGTGATTCATCGTTGGCCATCTCAAGCTGGTAAGACTGGACTGAAAGGAGATGCGTATACTTTCGAAATAGTACATGGTTGATGTTTAAATGTTTGTGGAAACAATGTGGTCATATAAATGCTGAAAAATAGTTTTTGTAACCGTAAATGAAATCAAAATATCCTCAACCATTGCTTACTGTCATGTAAATGTTCTAAATATTCATTTTAGATGGATATTAACACTCAATTCATTTGCTGTACAAGTCATGCTCAAAAAGGCCACACATAACACGTTTTTCGCAAACATTTACAAGTACGAGTCTAGAGAAACAATTAACTAATGTGTGTATACGGGGGTGTCGGTGTGGGTCTGTCTTCGTCTTAGCTTAACTCATACCGACACCTACACCAACACCCACACCACCCACACCCGCACACCCACACGCACACCCACAGCCACCCACACCCCACACCCTCAATGCAAAAAAAACAACATTCGCAAAGATTTCTACTTCGAAACGTTTTCTATTGAATTTATCGAATGCTTTGTTTTTACATTTTCGGTATATTTTTCAACATTAACAATACAAATTCTAAGCAATTTTCTCTACTTTATAAGCATGAGCCATCCAAAATAGTCTAGTTTATAAGTTTTGAGACTGAAACTAAGTTATTTGCAAGATTAATATATTCTGAAATGTATTTCAATGTTAGAAAGCTCTAATCGACAATGAGCCATTGTTGGATTTTAAAAGACCATGCAATATTGAATATCAACAGAATTCACTGCAACATTACTTTTGTTCTTCAGAACAATTCAACACTTAATCTTATAGAAATCATCCATCTATTTTTCGTTTAACCCTATGGTTCTTATTTCATTTGATAAGATGTGAATAAAAAAATGAAAGCAGTTCAATAAAAACTTCTTTTATATTTATTAATATTTGATTTTATCCAATAAGGTTTGACATTCTTTCGTTATTCATAAAAAAGATTTTCTGTACAACGCATTAGAAAAAAAGATAAAAAGATGTCATTTCATTTTATTTCAATCGTGAAGATATTAGCCAAACCCATTCTAGGAACATTAACTCACATCTAAAAAGTATTTTTACTTTAATGTTAACAGCAAAACAGACATCTACATACGATAGCGCACAAACAAATTTCCTTTGTTAAAATTTTTCTAACTTTACAAAATGGTTTAAGTGTATTTGAATAAAGTAGATTAATTGAGATATTTATAAGAGTAGTAGCGAATATAGTGAATTTAATTAAATATCAATGGCGTTGCTTTAAAGTGAATACATTCTAAGCATTGTAAAATTTAGAAAAACAGATTGATATTCAATGAAATGGTACCTAATTATTTTGTGTTTCATGAAACTTCTAAATATCGAACTCTATTTTATCAGAACATAAATGAAATCATATCAATTAATTGATGGCTCATATGTTTGAACTTTTTCATACAGACATTTACCGGACTGAATCTTTTCGGTAATCAGATCGGAGACAATGATGCACGGCATCTCGAAGAAGCACTTAAAAGCAACAAAATGATGTTTACTTACTTTTCTACATAGTTTTGTGGAACACTAGTATATTTTCGAGGAAAAAGGTGAGTGTAAGTTTTAAGTTAAACGTTTCATGACTCCCCCTCTCATATCCATTACAGACCTTAGCGCCCAGGTTTCAAATAATGGATATATATATATATAACAG